AAGTAGACTCAGCAATTTGAAACATCGAATCCAGAACCTCCCACATTTTTTGTTTATTGGAAAGCTGCAATATGTGCCCTTATCACTGAGCACCTTAATGTAGTTAATACTAGTATTTTGATAAGTTACCAAAATAAAAATAAAAAATTTAAGGGATCTATAGTTAAAATTAGATATTTTCTCATTTGCATGGACATGACAAATGCATGTTCGGTTACATAAGGCCAACTTTTTTTTTTAATTTTCTTTTAGCACAAGGATATATCTATCTATTCTATTAAGAGAAGAGCCCTTGTCAACTTTTTTTTTTTTTCTGTTTTTTCGAATTTTGCCCTTACTTTTGAATACACAATATTGACATGAGAAGGCAAAAAAGTAATTTTGTACCTTTTGACAAAATGACAATCATATCCCTATTTTTCCTATTTTACCCTTGCTTTTGATACACAATATTTACATAAGGAGAACAAAAAACATTAATTATGTAATATTAAAATAAAATATGCACTTATTAAGAGAAATTGTCCCACCATCATTTTTTCTTGCTCTTTTTAAAATTTTAAAAACTAATCACACTCCTTAATAAAATATAAAATAAAAAATAAGACAAAAAATTAAATGATATTGTTCACACACACAGTGTGTGCTCATCAACTAGTTTTACATTAAGAAGAGAGGGAGTTCGGCTAAGTTATATGATAGACAACTTAATTTGGTATCGAATTCACCATCCACGTGATTCGAACCTAAGATCTCTCACTTACAAGTAAAGAGAAATATCACCAGTAAAAAACAATGAATCCTCTAGAGTTTCGATCATATCCAATTGAGAGGGCTAAAGGTCCAAAACCCAAAAAATAGCCTAATTTGCCCAAAAAGTCATCTTTAACCGATGGTTGGGCTATAATTTTGTAGAGTCACCACACCATTATTTGACCAAAGGGGTATCACGCTGGCCAAATGTAGCCCTCGACTTAGCCATTTTTTGAGAGCCAACTCCTCAATTGCAATAATTGATCCAAATTCAATAGCTAGATTTAAAAAATCAAATGGTAGTTTAATTAAACTAACTAATAAACTTAAAGTAATAAATTAATGAGGGGATATGTTCAGCCCCTTCGATTGAAGATAGTATATAAATATGATCTAACATTATTCATTTAAGAATAATATTTTGCAGTACTATAATTGTGAAATGACTATTGTTACATCCCACATCGTCCAGGGAAGTGGATCATGTAAGCCTTATATGTATATTCTCATCTCTACCTAGCACGAGGCCTTTTGGGAGCTCACTAGCTTCGGATTCCATGGGAACTCTGAAGTTAAGCGAGTAGCACACGAGAGCACTCCCATGATGGGTGATCCACTAGAAAGTTCTCGTGTGAGTTCCCAGAAACAAAACCGTGAGGGCGTGGTCGAGGCCCAAAGCGGACAATATCGTGCTACGGTGGAGTCAAGCCCTGGATATGGTGGGGGCTGGGACTGGGATGTGACAATTTGGTATCAAAGCCAATCCCTGGCCGGATGTGTTGACAAGGACGTCGAGCCCCTAAGGGGGGTGGATTGTTAGATCCCACATCTCCCAGGGGAGTGGATCCTGCCTTATATGTATATTCTCATCTCTACCTAGCACGAGGCTTTTTAGGAGCTCATTGGCTTCGGGTTCCATGGGAACTCCGAAGTTAAGCAAGTAGCACGCGAGAGCACTCCCATGATAGGTGACCCACTGGGAAGATCTCGTGTGAGTTCCCAGAAACAAAATTGTTAGGACGTGGTCAGGGCCCAAAGCATCAAGCTCGAGATGTGGTGGGGACCCGGACTGGGATGTGACAACTATATTTAGACATTTCGATTGAAAATAGTCTTGTAATTCACGAGTTATTGACTCATAACACATCATGAATATATCACTTGGCTGGACTCCATTCAATGATATAATGGGGTCCTGGACTCTTCTCTTTCCGCGGATAACCAATTGACTCAAAGAGAATAAAAAGATGAATTCACACGTTCAAAAGAGATGTTGAAAAGTGAATTTAATAATTTTTTAAAAGGAAAGAAAAGGGGGAAACTCGACTGTAAAGTAGTAATCTATATTCTCATTCCACAAAAATGAAAAAAGAAATTTGAAATTATTACATGATAATGATTGTCTCTCCTAGGATGCACATGTTCTTCTATTTGTAAATAACTTATTTTAACCGAAAAAATCAACCATTGAAACATTTCAATTTATTAATCGTCATTTGTAGATCAATTCAACAAAAAATAATTTGAATTGGAGAACATTTAATCATCTAAACGTATCAAATAATGAACAATGTATCATGGATAAATTACTCGATACCTATATCGTCGATTTGCTCGATATATTTGAACGCCTAAATGATCCTTGAGTGAGATGATTTTTCGCTTGGGTGATCTTCAACTTCAACTGAATATTAAGAAATTGAATGGTTCCAATTATAAAATTTGTACGTTCAAGATATGTTGTTCGAAAGAAGGAATGCAAGTAATATTATTGTTATATTTGTTTTGTTTTCTTTTTCCTTAACAAACGATTGGATGATTAAATTAAAAGGAAATTTAATAAATGGTCAATAAAATTTTTACTAATGAACTATATATTAAGAAATTGGTCAATTTTTATTTTGAACTTAATCAATGAAATATTTTTGTTAACTAGACATAGGTCAATGAAGAATGCTACATGGGTTTCAAGTCCATATAAATAGTTATAAAATTACTTTTTTGCCCTAACTTAAATTAAAAAGAGGTTTATGATAGTCTCTCCCAAAAATCCTCTCCTTTTATGTACATGAAGATAACACAAATGCCTCTCTCTCGTTGATGAATCAATACAAGCCATAAATCCATAACTGAAACCCAGCAATACAAATCTCTCTCTCTCTCTCTCTCTCTCTCTCTCTCTCTCTCTCTCATTTATATATGAATCAATACAAGCCATGAATCTATACTTGAAAGGCCGTCAATAAAAATCTCTTCGGTTGTAGCAGTGGTCACGAAAATCTCATCGCTGCCACTAAATTTGTCGTTCGACTGTTATATCTCATCGATCAGCCACTAAATTTCATTAATCCATGACTAATCTCATTAATCATTGGCTAGACAAGCCGTTGTCAATCGAGTTCATAATAACAATGAGAGATCAAGAGGGGAGAGTGTTGTTGATTGAATTCACACAGAGAAAAGTGATGGAGGAAGGAGAAAGAATGGAAAATTTGAAATCAGTTTATTTTCAATTTGGGTCTTGCTTTGGAACGTCCAAGTTGATTTTTTTGGGTTTTTTTGTTGGGTTAGAGGTTTGGGATGGAGAACGAAAGACAAATTGGTTTTTGACATGTTTAATTGAAGCCCAAATTAGATGCTGCATAAAAAAAAATTAAAACCAGAAAACAGACACTACATTGCAGTGTCTGAATTAAAATGTCAAAAAAAAAAAAAAAACAGAGTCAAGAAATGAACACTGCATTGTAGTGTTTGAATCCAAATGTAAAAATAATATAAAAACAGAACTAGGAAACATACACTGCATTGCAATGTCTGAATCTAAATGTAAAAATTAAGAGTCGCACGATTAGTGATGGAAAAAACAGAACTAGGAAATGGACACCACAACGCAGCGTTTGAATCCAAATGAGAACAAACCCTGCATTGCAGTGTCTGAATTCTTATGGACCTATTCCAAAATATAAAAATATGAGAAAGAGTATGTCAATTCAAGCGGGTGACAGTTGTAGTGATAGATTTTGTAATTATTGTTTATTTTAAAGGCATTTAAGTATCATAATAAATAATTGTTCTATTTATAATTAACATAAATATTATTGATCTATTGTCAATATTATAACTTTTTATTGATTTTATACAAAATTACCCCAAATTAAATTCATCAAAAGAGGAACGGTGATTGAAGCTTGAGTACAAAAGACTAGAGCACCCTACTTTAGTCAACTTAACTAAACTCACTAAACTCAATTCAGCAGTTGAGTTTAGCAGATAACTCATGACGAGTCACTATTTTTCTTACTTAGATCAAATTTTACATGAGTCAAGCACAAAACCCATCAATTCTCTTAACTAATTATTTTTTATATTAAATACAATGATAATTTAGTATTGAACTGAATAGTCCATCCTTAATAATTTAGAATTGAACTGATCATTCACAGTTTTATGTTGTAGGGAAGTATCATGTAGTTTATATAGAGTTTGATTTTTATATTATTTTTCTTTTGGAAAATGATTTTTATATTATTCTACTTACTGGATAGGAGGATAAATGTACCAAGTATTTTTCAATATTCAAAATTTGCCTAAAATAAAAAAACTCAAAATTTGCCAATTCTTGCCAAGAAATAATTTGAACTACATTATTTTTGAAGTATTTGTAGATTTGTCCCTCAAACATGTAAAGAATTGCTAATTTCTCCCTTGAACTAATTTTAGCCGATTACCCGTAAACTTTTGCAGTAGCTAATTTTACCCTCCGAAGTCCGAACTTTAACTTTAGTCAATTTTCTCTAGTGTTAAATTTTAAATTTTTCATCCAATTTTCCTTTTCTTTTTGCTCCTGTACGGTTATCAAGTGAATCGATGGAAAATTTGATGAAAATTTTAAAATCTAACATCAAGATGAAAATTAGCTACTTATAAAAGTGCTGAATGATAACCAGCTGAAACTAATGTTCAAGAAGAAAATTAGCTAATTAAAAAAATTCAAAAGATAATCGGTTAAAATTAAAATTTAGGAAAGAAAAATTAACAAGTCAATGCAAGTTCGTAGGACTGTCCACAAATATGCCTAAATATTTTGAAATAAGAAAAAAAAAATTCTCAAAATTTGACTTCCATTTATAGTTTCTCCATGCGCTGAAAATGTATAAAAATGAAAAATAAAAAGTAAAATAGAAGAATAAGCATATAAGGTGGGGGTAAGAATAAAGGGAAGATCACCATAAAACACAAGAAACAGATTTACCTAATCAAATCAAGGACATGCCCTTTTCCCTTAAAACTTTTACTGCTACTAAACCAACGCAAATCATGTCTTCAACGTATTAACACAAGCGCAACGATACAGTTACAAATGTGTCGATGCCATTTAGTATCACCAAATTTACAAATATTCTTTATATGAGGAATATAGTTTATAACCAGCCCCTAAATTCTGACGACGATACACTTTTATAACGTAGATATCTAATTCAAAGAGTCAAGATTCCATCTTCTTTACGAGCAGTTTGTATCGTAACTTGCAAGTCCCAACAATTCTGGACCTTCGAGTCGATGGTTGTTCTCAAAGCTACAATGTTGAGACAAAAAGAAAACACAAATACAAATTACTTCATAAAACCACAAGCAAATAACAGCTTGAAATAAACCAAGACAAGAAAACCCCTTTCCTAACACCAGCCAACCTATGTTTCCTTCGCATTGAAACTCAACCTGCTCTTGACCGTACCAAACGCTAGGAAATAAATTGTTTAAACTTCTATACCGCACAAAAACACAACTTCATTTAGAGTTGCGGAAAAACTCTACGACAGTGTGTAATGAAATTATCTACACTTACCATCTATTAAGAGAACTCTCTTTGTGAACTAGAGTGTAAAAAATCAATTCTAACCTTTTCATTATGGGATAAATTCATCAATAAATACAAAAGATGAAGGGCAACCTGGTAATAAAGCAAAAACCTCCATACTATTCTATCTGCACTAACTAGCAACACACCGCATATCATGTCCGCCTAACTCTAGTTTATTTCATAGTGTAGAAAACTTAACAGTGTGCACTGCCTGAATGAGCTAATTGTGCTTGGCAAAAAGTATTCCAAATTGTATTCTTAGGCGCACATATTATACAAGCATAAGATACTACGCATATCCCCTTAAATTTCTCATTTAGATGTTCACCAAGCAAAAAATTAAATATATATATATGTATGTATACAGCACAAATTCTCTCCAGTTGACTTTATTCTAGTAAAAGCATCTATAACACAAGAGTATGGATCCATTTCCTGGTATTTGGTACAATCCTAAGAAACTTGCAATAAATATTCTCTCTTTTTTTCTCATCATGCAGAGAAGCATAAATGCCTTGTTTGGTCCCTAGGATTCGAATGGAATGGATAACCCACTCAATTAAAAATATTCTGAGGGTAGAAGTGAATGGGAAATTCACGGTATCACATACATAACATCAATGCAAACAAGAACAGGAATGCAACCACGCAAACCCCTTTTTCTTTTTGTTATGAGAAGGCACAAAACCCTTTTCATTTTCTGGTAAATAGGTGTCAAAAAGGAAGACCTCAAAGACTGATAAAACAAAACAGTATTTCCCATGGTTGAATTCCAGTTGGATAACCAAAAAAAGAGGTAATGATAACAAAACAAAATGCTAAATAATAGAAGGGACCTACTTGTTCAAGGGGATGTGCTCAAAGGGTCCACTGGTAGGAATCGTCCCACATAAATCATTGTTTGATACATCCCTGAAAAAAAGTGTCAATTTTAAATGAATAACAGTATTTACAAGAGAAAAGATAAAAAGAAAACACAAGAGCATTACCCACATTTGCAGAAAAACAAAGGGATAGAAGAAATGGAATAAGACAAGAAGCACTCACACAACTTTGAGGCTTGAAATACCCGTAAGATCCCTGGGGATTGGCCCAGTTAACCGATTGTCATTGAGACGCCTGCCAAACCAAAGCAATAATGAGAGAGAAGCAACAATTACTGCACCACAAAAATCTAATGATATGAATCTAAATAGGGATTTATTATGTGCACTACAAAATAGTTAACATGCACTCTACTCTCCTGTATATATATTTTTTTTAATAGGGATAAAAGTTCAAAACCACTAAGTCATAAGACGAGGCATTGAATGTACTGCTACCTGAGGCGTAAGCCTTTCAAGACTTGTAAATGTTATTTGGTAGTTTAGATAACAAATGGAATAAAAAGTGCATTTTGGTCATCAATAAAAGGAGAGATTCCAAACTAATAAAACTGACTGTTTCATTAAAAGGAGTAAACCAACATACCCATATGTGTTGCTGTTTAGCATAAAAATGTACCGGAAATAAAAAAGAACAAAAAAAAAAGCCTTTCTCTTCCTAGCGAGAGAGGTCAGATGATGGATCTATATCAGATCCAATGAAATCTACTTAATCTAGCCCTCTGGCCACCTCACCGCTGGCTCTCCAACGTGGTACTGCTTCAGGCCTGGCCGCTCCCGCTTGATGAGGAACAGAAGTGATTGTTTTCCTGAATCAACGGTTGTTTTAGTATTTTATTATTTAGGGTTTGTCTTTCGAATTCCTACTTTTATAAGGATTAAGATTTTTTCCCGTATAACCAGGATTATATTTAGTTTCCCATTCTATTTTGGATTAGGATTTCTTTCCTATAATAAGCTTACTTTCGTGCATTCTTTAGGTTTAAGGCATTATAAATATTCTTGTAATTCAGTAATCAAGAATAATGAAGAGTCGATGAATAGAAAAGTTTGGTTTTCCAGTAACTGGAATTCTTATCCTGCGACAGGGTTATTTTGGTGTGATGCCAAATTTCTTGGCGACAGGCCAAGAATGGGTGTGATGGCCCTGTGATTCCACTTATCCTTTATTGTTGTTTTAATCTAAGTTTTCTTTATTTTGGCGTCCGCTAACCTATCTATATTCCGCTGCCCAACTCTGTCTTACATCACTGTTGGCCTTCCAATAAAAATTGCTAAAGTCAAATGCCTCGTGTATATTTTGTTAGGAGAAGTGCAAAATAACTACTCCCATATAAATATACACATAAATGTATATGTATATAAGGTGAATGATTAGTTCACTACTCTAAGCAACACTCTAGAAATTGCAAAAGGCAACAAATAAAGAACCACCGCTTATGTTCCAATGCTGTACCTTCAACCAGGATCCCAAATAAGTTATTCAGCAATTTTCAAGTAAGGGTTATTAGAAATCAAATCATCCATTTTCAAAATGAAGAAAATAGATTTTAAGTAAAGCCAAAACAGTAATAATGCAGGCATAATTTAGTGCTTAATTTAATAAACTTACAAAAACACAAGTGATTTCAATTTCCCCAACGACGGAGGAATGGTCCCCGATATGTTGTTGTTATATAAGTCCAAGCTAATGAGGCTCTTCAGGTTACCAAGCTCAGCTGGAATAGTTCCTTGAATGTTATTTTTGTAAAGCTCCCTATATTCAAGGGTGCATGGGTGACCATACAATATGAAAGTATTAATGGGAAGTAAAGAATCATATTTATGTAAAAACAAGGGCACAGATTTCCACACACCCCAGCCCCTCAGCCAAAATAAACCCAAGATTGCAACAAGATCAAATACAATTGTATGCTTTATGAATAACCAGCATATAATCCAGGGAGATGAGAAACATACAGATATTGAAGATGCTCAAGCTTTCCTAGTTCAGGTACCAAATGTCCAGAGAGGTTTGAATTACCTAAATCCCTGCCAAAAATATCAAACTCTCAAACTTACAACAGATGAATAATAGCTTGGGGAAAAAAATAAACAATCTGAAGACTATAGCTGCCTCCCTAAAGAAAGTACAAATCAAGGCAACCAAATCTCCCACCTGAGTTAGCGTATGAAGTAGCAAAATATTCTTACATCAAATTCAATACAATGATACAACCATTCATCGCAAGAAAGAAACAGACAGCAGATATGCATAAATACCACTGCAGCTAGCAAGTCCAATGCAATAAATCCACACAAGACGGAAATAATAATGCGTGAGGTTACAAATCTCACATTGCCCAGACCAAATAAAACAGAAAACCATTGTACCTCATTTCCAATTTAAAGTTTGCACAGAATAGTTCCTTTGACGCGATAAACAATAATAACGGGAACGACAACGTACAATGGGGGGAAAAAAAACAAGCAAGAAATTTATGAAAAACAAGAATATGAGTTATGAAATGAGAAAAACCGACGCCCTCAACTGAAACTCTTCAATAAACTAGAAAGTCAACTGCAGTATATCTTATTGATCTACATACTGGAACAGGTAGGTAGGTGATTAGTCAAAGAGCTAAGATAGCAAAAATCTCCACTCACAACATTGAGAGAAAAATTGTTTCCCACTATCTAGGATATCATGGCCGAACAGCCTAAGTTGCAGCGCTAAGAGTTTACTGGCAATGCAGTCCGCAGCTTTGGAGCACAAGGCTGATGCATTTTGCAGCGTAATAACCAGATGTACTCGACGGTTGCGTGATCCTAGAACTTCCTCCGTTCAAACAACACACCGGTGGTGGAACATGACCTTACCATTCCTCCAAAATTTAACCACTGAATTAACTAAATTTGGACTCCATTTATGCTAACCTCCACACTAAGTGACCAACCAAACTCAACTATTATGGTTCCATTTTTCTTTTCTTTGAAAAAGTGGCTCAAATATATTCGTTAATACGAAAATTACTGTGACAAATAACAAAAACCTAAATAAATTGAAAAACCAATTTGATTAAACATCCAGTCATCACCAAATCTAAAAGCAAATAGCGAACACCATCATCATATCAATCAGAAGAAAAGGAGTACCACAAATTTAATATACATCTATATATATATATATATATATATATATATATGTATAGAGAGAGAGAGAGAGAGAGAGTCAGTGTTTAGGGGATGGTACACTCGGGTAACGCGATTGTCCTGGTTGCAGGTGATGTGAAACCAAGTGCAAGGGTTGACGAGGGTAGGATCCCAGCTCTGGAGCAGGTTATCGGGATCCGACAAGCTCCGCCGGAACGTGTACAAAGCGTCGCCTTCGGAGTTGCAATACACCAGCGGAAGGAGGCATACGCTTAGGGATAGGGTTAGAGTGAAGAAGAACCTGGATGCCGCCGCCATGGCCAGTGGTTGACGCCGAATCAGCTTCTTCTTCTTCTTCTGATGGGCTGTAGGGCTGTAGGGCTTTTGTTTTCCTTCCTTTTTGCCTTGCCTTTCTGTGTTTTGCGTTTTGTAAGGGGGGGGAGAGAGGCAGCAGAGTCAATGGCTCAAGAGTAGACTTCAGAAGGATCGGTTTTGGAAATCACATGGCCTTTCTTCTTCTTTTTAATCATCAAACGTCTACTGTCACTGTGCCGGTTGCTATTTTCCATTTTTCATCTCTAATTCACTTTGGTCTTTTATCGGATTGTACTGATTATTTTAACTAGAGAGATTAAGGAGGTGTATTCAATTAGGATTTTAAATGATTTTTATTTTTTTTAATGAATTTAGGGGTATTCAATTAGGATTTTAAGTGATTCTCTGAAATTCAAGATATATTCAATTAGAATTTTAAGGGATTTTAATTCTTTTAAGGAATCTAGGTGTATTCAATCAGGATTTTAAGTGATTATCTGAAATTCAATGTGTATTCAACCAAGATTTTAAGATAGTTTATTAAAATCCTTAGAAATCCAGGTATATTCAATTATAATTTTAAAGAAATTTATAATATTCCAGGTATATTGAATTAGAATTAGAATTTAGAGAATTTGGAAAAATTGAGGAATTAGAGGGAATTGGAGAGATTTTGTAGTGTATTTTAAGCATCCACAAATCTCACCTCTTCCCATGAGATTTCGAGGGAATTGGATCAAAATTTTACATAGAATATCCACAAAAATCTTCGTAAAAATCTATGGATTTATAAATCCATTAAAATCTATGAATTTATAAATCCATTAAAATCTCTCAAATTCCCAATTGAATACATCTCCCTAAGTGTATTCAAATAAGATTTTAAATAAGTTTATAACATTCCAAGTGTATTCAATTAGAAATTAATTTTAAAGAATTTGAGAAAGTTGAGGAATTAGAGGGAATTGAAGAGATTTCGTAATGTATAAACATCTACAAATCTCACATCTTCCCATGAGATTTCGAGGGAATTGAATCAAAATTTTATATGGAATCTCTACAAATCAATTAAACTACATTAAACTCCATGGATTTATAAATTCATTAAAATCTTTCAAATTCTCAATTGAATACACCCTCCTAATTTGTGCATAAGATAATCTAACTAAATGTTAGTTTAGTATTGCCGAAATTATTTTACAAGCAACTTTTTAAAAAAGTTGGAGCGAAAATTATATTTGGTAAATGAAAGAAAAGTGTTTGGTGTCAAAATATGGGTCTAAAATAGTAGAAACATAAGTAGATATATGCCTCTACCCCTACTTCTAAAAACTTCTTTTTATTTTTTTTCACGACACAACAACTCCATACTAATCCTAAATAGTTGGCCATTTAGTGCATTATCAGACTGAAGACCACTATTTAATATCATCTTTGATGTTGTAGTGAAAAAGAGAATTTCAAACTCTCACTGTGTTTTTTTCACTTTAATGGTTCCTTGGGAGGTCGATTGTATGCCCTTGATGCGAGATTTATACGCACACAAATTAAACCCTCTTTTTGACAATTGTAGTATAGGTATAAGTAGGGATCGTTCTGGACCGGGGATTAGGAGGGATTGTTAATCTCTTGGATTTGACTTCAAAAACGTAAAAACAAGTTTAAAACACTATTTAATGCGAAGAATGCAAAACTAAAAGTAAGAAAGATTAAGACTAAAACTTAAACAAAATAAAGGGGGATTGGATTTGGACGAAAATTGAAATAACGAAACAAGTAAATAAACTAGATAGAATGTAAATATGAAATTGATGAAATGGAATGAATGGATGCTAGCTAAGGGGTTCATCTCCACACATGTTACACTTGCATAATAAAAAGATTTCTAATTGCTTTTCAATAAACCATGAATTCTCAACGCCCCGGATTAATTAGGTCCGCTTAAATTAACCGTCAAGTTTTCCTTAAGTTAATGAATTGGATGATTGCATACGACAACCCAAAGCATTCCTCACAAGTTCCCTACATGAATTGCATAATAGAGATACAAGCAAGAATCATTAAGCATCATGAAAACTATAAGTGTTGACGAGGCATTCGTTACTATGATTGCATGAAACTTATGCCAAGAATATGTTTAATACGATTGTTTATAAGCAACCTCCACTACTTGTGAATATAAGTTCATAACTATTACGTGAAACTCACTTATATTCTAGCGTCAAATTCATGCATGAAAATTAAGCGTTCATTCTTAATAAACATACATAAATAGGTTATCAATCAAACAGTTAAACAAATTGAATTCATAACTTATGAAACGTAATTAAAAGTAATCAAATCATATTACAAACATAAACATAGTTTCGAATTACCCCCTAGCTAAAGGGGGTTTAGTTCCTCATAACTTTGAAATCAAAGAAACACCTAAACATTCCAACAACTCAAAACTTTGAATTGTATGAACGTTTAAGCACTCTTTTCTTCCATTTCTCATACGTACAAAACAAAGAGAATTAAAATGAAACTTTGAAATCAAAGAAACACCTAAACATTCCAACAACTCAAAACTTGAATTGTATGAACGTTTAGGCACTCTTCTCTTCCTCGTTGTTGTAGCACAAGGTTTAAGGATAGGTTGGTTGGGGGGATGCAAGTGTTGGGGAATTATGGAAATGGATGAGGATTGGTGGAAATGGAAGATGGTTTTTGGATTCTAAGGGAGAAAGGAATGTGTTTGTGGTGTGTTGTTGTGTTGTGAATGAGATGATATATGAATGAATGAATGCAAGGGTATTTATAGGAGTAGTGGAGGGAACATATAGGGAGAGAATGGATGGGAGAGCATGTGAATGATAGCTAGGAGAATGATTAAAGGGGTGTGAATGGTTGGAAATGCATGTGGGTGAATTGGTGGTGCAATGATGAAAGAATAAGTGCATGTGTGTGTGTTGTGTTGGAATAAATGTGGATGCATGATGAAAAGTTAATAAATAATGCATGTAGGGTTAGGAAATAAAATCATAACTTAAAGGGGGGATGATTAAAGGATGTGGCTAGGTTGGAAAGGTGTGGAAGATGGATGGAATTAGGGGGAATGCATGGCAATGATGGGGAGTTCTTTGGTGATGAATGCAATGATGAAGAGTGAATAAATAATGCATGTAGGGTTAGCTAGGTTGGCTTTGTTTGGGTGCATGTGAGTTAAAGAGGGAGAATGTGGTGAAATGATGAAGTAGGAAGGTGGAAATGCATGTGAATGCATGTGAGTGCATGTGTGTGTGAATGGGTGTTTCTTGATGGTTTTGGGGTTGTGATGCATGTGAATGCATGTGGCTAAGGCTTGTTGATTGGGCTAGAGGTTTTGCATGGCTCAAAGGATTGTTTGATTGGGCTAGGCCCTTTGTTTTATGTTCAAAGTGCATACAAGGCTTTCAAATTCGTCCAACACTTTGGCTCCAAAAATATGCTATCCATTCCAAGCCCAATTTTGCTCCAAAATGCTCCAAAATGCATCTTTTTGCTTCCTTAGCCATATGAACCTAAAAACACACGAAAATGGCTTAAACTACTAAAACAACTATGAATTAACAACATAGATGCACGAAAGCAAGCTAAGTAAGTCGCCTAAATATGCTCCTATCAGCCCTCCCATTTACATACTCTCCACAAGCCCTAATGTTTGTGTGGTCATGGTTAAGTCACGTCAACATTTTATATTACTTTTTGTTTTATTATTACTGTAAGAAATTAATATAAAATGTTGACGTGGCTTAACCGTGACCACACATCACAGGAAGGCATATGGGAAGTATGGAAATGGGAGGGCAAATAATCCACCTCCCTTGTTAGGACTAGTTTGGGGTTGGTCAATTTTTTTTTCAAAAGCAGCTTCTTTACCACCATCACCGGAACTCAATTAAGTATCATTAGAATTCAATTGGGGTTGTTCATGACTGGATTTGAAAGAGACAAAGGAGGCAGTGGATATAACTTTTAGGTTTAGTTGTCGGATTTTGTCCATAAACAAAAACTTACTAGGGCAAAATGACTTTAATGTATTATTTATTTATGTTAATTTAAGGGAGAAGATGGATTTGGTGAAACATTTGTTATAATTGTTCGATCTCCATGGGCCGCGGAAGAAGACTAGTATTTGTTATAGTTGTTTTAGACTTTCTCAACAAAGGTGGACTCGCTCTTGTCCTTTTGCTCGGTTGGTTTGAAAGTAGAGACGAACTAGTAGACCCCAGCGATGAGGAGAGCCCCAAAAGTGAGTTAGTGAGTCCATTGGACTTGGAAAGACATAGAAAGATACAAGACAAAGAGGAGTGAGAGAGCAAGAGATGGAAATAACATTGAGTCTAGCATAGCGGCTGGATCGAGGATGATACATGGGTGGAGGTAGACCTGTAAACGAGTCGGGTTTATTAGGTTTTGGTCAGATTCAATCCAACCTGTTAAGCTAACGGGTCATTCAAACCCAACATGTTAAACTAATAAGTCACTCGTTAACACCCGTTAACAATGGCTGTTTTTTGCTTTTTTTTTTTTTTTTTTTTTTGCGTTCCAATACAATTACACATATTAACTGAAAGGATGTATAAAAGGTTGTTGCCTGCTGACAGTGAAAAATGTACTGAGTTCGATATATAGTAAACAGAAAAGGAGCTGCTACTTGGATTTCTCCTCGGTCTGGTTCTGGAACTCTTCCTGCAAACAAGGAGTTGCGGATGATGTCTTTGAAGAGGATGGAGATAAGGGTTGACATGCAGATCACGGAGCAGGAGGTGCAGCACAGGAGGAACTGGAGCGGCTTGAGGGAGGAGATTTCTTGGGATAGATGGTGCAGGGAGTAGAGGAAGGTCTAGTCGAGGAGCTTGGGCAATATGAAGGCCCCTGCCGAGGGCAGGCGTTTTCACTGTCAATGAAGCAGTAGATAGATAATCTACTGTAGATTATTTATCAATGATAAAAAAAAAGATAGGAAAATAGGAAAAAGATAAGGT